GAGGTCCACACAGCCATTTATTTTTCTATTATTGTTGGTGGAACTCCGGAAGAGTTTCATACGGAACAAATCACTTTCGTTCTTCAATTTGTCCGTCAAGGATCTGACAACCCATGGGTATTAAAAGGGTTTTGGCATTGCGAAGCTGATTATAGGCGTTTTGGATCAATACCAAATTGATTTAAAAGACTGTAGGGGCCAGGGCTATGATAACCTCGGTATTATGTTCGGTGTAAACAAAGAAGTGCCAGCCATCAGAGAGAAAAATGCCAAGTCTACGCAAATCTCAACGTAAATGATGCAAAAGAAAAAGAGTGGATTGAAGAAATCCGTCATCTAGATGTTCTTTTAGATTTAGAGACTTTTAGACAAACAGAATCTCTTTCTTCTATCAAGTTGCTCAGCAGAATCTACCAGAAAGGTCTTCGGGTAATATTTCCATTTATCTGCTTTTTACTTCGCATTTTTAATACAATCCCGGTTTCAGTGGCTGAAGGAAAGCGCTCTTTCAGTAAGCTTGCTCTCATCAAATTCTCATTGCAATCAACAATGACTGAAGAACGCCTTAATAACCTTATGGTGATTTCAATTTAAAACGAACTTGTTTAGACTTTATCGTACGAAAATGCCATTTCTAGTTTTGCAAAAAAGAAAGCTCGCAAAGTGAAATTAGTGTGATTTGACTTGTCTTCATAATTAACATTTTATTGATGAAATATACAATTCCATTCATTTTGAATTGTATTTGTATTTTATTTTTATCATTTATAACCACGTTCATATACAGAGTGTTTTTGTGCAGCAATAGTTAATACAAAAATAATTGTATCGTTGTTTTCATTAAACTGTAATGTGATAGTAAACATCCGGACAATAATCAGTGAAATTCATGCTTAACTCAATATACCCTGGAATCCAAAGTTTAAGGCACCGAACAAAAATTGATCCTGGGCACCACAAAGACTCTGTGGGGGCTCGCTGAACTTTTGTCTATATATATATATATATATATATATATATATATATATATATATATATATATATATATATATATATATATATATATATATATATATATATATATATATATATATATATATATATATATATATATATATATATATATATATATATATATATATATATATATATATATATATATATATATATATATATATATATATGTATATATATATATATGTATATATATATAAATATATATATACGTATAAATATATATGTATATGTATGCACCAAATAAAAAGCTAAATTTTTTATTAAACAATATTATTAAAGATAACTTATATAAAGTAAACACTTAACAGCAAATCAAAGTAGTACAATATTATCATTGCAACAATATTTTAAATTATCACAAAACAAATTTGCTTTTAAAGTAACGCTAAAAACTCATTTCAATGCTATGATTATAAAAAAGAAGCCACTTTAAGGCGTTGCCAAGGTTAACAGCATTTGATAGCTCTTAAAAAAATTTAATTTTAAAATCATTTATATTCAAATTTTTTTAAGAACCATTGTGTTGTCTATTTAAACAACACAATGGTTCTTCATCTTTTTAACCGTACACAAATCATTATGAGCAGCAGAAACTCCTTGAGTTGCATGAACTGAAGCAACATATATTGCAGCTTATGAAAATACTGTTTCTCTCCCTAGGGTTAAAAACTAATAAAAAATTTATAAAGCGTCTACATAAATTTAGCTTCATGTTCAGCAGCTAGTTTGTGCGTAATAAATCCATGAACTGCCTCACTTTCTTCTAGAAAAACAATGACATATTGACACAGATGTTTGTATTCATTTATTATTACGCGCTGTGGACATAACTCCGCCTAAGTCTGGTGATGCAAACTTTAAAAAAAATATTTTACTAAAAATGTACAAAATATAAAATAATCAAACCCCTAGGGAGGTAAGGGAATTTTAAATTTTTAAAAAGTTTAAATTGGAAAAGTCTTGTATAACAATAAATAATAGGAAAATAAACTTGTTGTTTTTCCGACTCCTAAAAACGGACCTGACTAATGCACACGCACCCCGTTACACACGAATCTTTAAACACATACTCACAATACCTCTTAACACATGCAAAACATCCTAACAGCGCGCAGCTCTGATTTTTAAACTATTGTTACTAGACATGACAATAGAATAAAAACACTGTGTTAAAATTTTTATTCAACTATCATTCCAGAGTTGACTCTGGAATGATAGTTGAATATAATAAGCTTCTGCAAAGTTACTAAAGTCAGACTGTGGGACTATAAGAAATTTCATCTTACATTAAATTTTTTATACTCAAAAAAAGCAATTCGAAAAACTATTTGGTAATATAAATATTTTTCAAACAAATATTTTTCATACTTTGATGTGTCTTTGTAAACTAAAAAAATTTAAACTAAAAATGCTGTTACCATTTGAACTAAAAAAATTTAAACAAAAAAAACTGTAAAAAAATTATAAGTTTGTACCTTGGCAACTTTGAAACATTACCATAATACTACTTACAATCTATTTTATAATTTTCAAAAGCAAAAAAATTCTTGTAAAAAATTGTTTAACTATTTTGTTAATAAAGGTACTTTGTTAACAAATATTTACTAGATGACAAAAACTTAATTCAAAATCTGTTTTATCAAACAACGTTAAATTTAAAATGTATAAAAAATGTTTTAAAGAATTGTATAATATAATATAAAAAGCATATTTAAATTGGTGTCCTACTGGAAGAACTGAACACTAATACAATTTTTTAAAACATGACTTGATATATTATTAACATAATAATTTATCAAGACAGGAAAAAATATTACATAGTAGAGGACTTCGATTTGGTCTGTTTTGAGTATAATAAAAACCAAACATAAAATATTTTTACAACGGCTTATTTGAAACGGGAACAATACTTATAATAAAAACCTACAAGAATTACAAATCATTCATCTTTCTTAATTGATAACATTCTAACCAATGATTTTTTTAATAAGCTGCTTAAAAAGGTATTGTTAAAACAGATGTCTCAAACCACTTTCCTTTTTTTTTTCTTTTTTGAATAAATGCAAATTAATTAAAAAACTCCAGAGTAAGACAACCTTAAAAATACGTTTATACAATAACAATAACTTAAAATCAATTAAGTAACAAATTTCAAAGCAAACGGGAGTAATATTAACTTGATGATGCAAATCTGATCTCGGCTTTTTTTTTAAACATTCAAAACCATCTATGACGCAAACTTCCCTATTCGTGAATTAACCCTTAACGCTATCGTAACAAGACTTATCATGTCCTTGGATAACTAAAGGACTTAAAAAAGTGAGACAAAAACTGTATGTTAAATATCTAAAACTTAAGTCAGTCAAACATAAAAATAACATCTAGTTTATAAAAACAGCTTCAAAAAACTCCACATGCGAAGAAATTACTACTCCGGCTTATTTGTATTTGGCAATTAAAGAAAGAGCGGGAAAAAATAGGTATTATTTGGTAGGGAGCAAAATTTGGTATTATTTGGTAGGGAGCCTATGGTTTTTTTAAAGAAGGGAGGGGATAAAATATTTGTTAAAAATATTTTACATATATGTTTTTCCCTAATAATTATAGTTTCAAAAATATTTTGGGGTGGTTAAGGCTCTGTTACATAAATGTTAAAATAAATACAATATGTTGTGCGCCACAGGGATCCACGGTTATATATATATATATATATATATATATATATATATATATATATATATATATATATATATATATATATATATATGTATGTATATATATATATATATATATATATATATATATATATATATATATATATATATATATATATATATATATATATATATATATATATATATATATATATATATATATATATTAAAAATAATACCTTAAGAAAGTCTCTAACTTAACCACTGTATTTTTTGCTGATGACACAAATCTATTCCAATCTCATAAAAGCATAAATACACTTTTTAATAATGACAAAATAATTTAATAAAATCTCGTGTTTATTTAAAAAAAACAGATTGTCTCTCAATATTGATAAAAGAAAACGGAGACTTTTTACCCAATATATAAAAAAAATGCTTGTCAAATACGATTTCGACCTCTTTATTGATAATACAATAATAAAAAAGAAAAAAGTTACAAAACTTCTTGGAGTTCTTGTTGACGAAAACCGTTGTAAACGTTGGAGAATTAGGGGGTTGATTTTGTAATAAATAATGCAAACGTACGCAGAAAAAGAATGGTTTGTTGAAAGCATTTAGGTGCGTACAAGAGGGAAGGGGGGGGAGGGAAATTATATCAGTGGTTTTGCTGCATACGTACTTTATTGATGTTCTCTAACCTAAACTTTAAAATAATTTGCGAAACCGTGAATATTTGGCTAAAAGGAACTTTGTCAACATATAAAATCTTCTGTCTTCTATTCGCTATATTTTTTTATGTAAATTTTCTTTATGAAACTTGTAAAACAAGAACATCGTAAAATGTTTATAAATGACAAAATAAATAATAATAACAATAATAATAATAATAATAATAATAATAATAATAATAATAATAATAATAATAGCAATAATAACAATAATAATAATAATAATAATAAAAAGTAACGTTAGGACGCTTAGATATATCAACTAATCAAAAAATTTAAAAGTGGCTAAAAGAACTGAGCTGTTTCCGTTGCAAATATATTTTAAACATGAAAAATGCCTAATTTTCTAATGTGTCCAAAAAAGTTTCAAAATGAAAAGGCAAACTTTACAAATTTCCATGGAATGTAACATGAAATAAGACTAAGAAAAAACGGAAACAAAAAAAGTTATATTAACCGTGAATTCTAAAAACACTAATAGCATGTTTAAAGAAATTGTTGACTTTCGTCTTTTTTTTATCCAAAAAAGCTCTCAAAGATCAAGTTTTTTTAAACACTTTTGAATTATTTGGTCATTATTTTTTATTTATATTTTTAGAATTTGCAAAGATGTTAACGCATGCGTTCAATGAACATTAAATGAATGATTTAAACAAAATCACGTAGCGAAAAAAAAAGAATATTATGAATAAACAGAACAGAAAAGACAAATCAGTTTATCAGAATACAATAAAACATTTCTACAAACAATCATAAATATTTAAATGGTATACATAACAACAATTATTATTAGGCCAATTGTAAGAGGCTATATAAGATACGCCGAAGAATAGAGCATAATTTGGAGATATAATATACATTTTTAATTTAGTATTTTAGTTGAACTTTTCAAAGGATATTTTAACATCAATATTTTAATTAATGTAAAAAACAAAATATATTATATTAAACTTCAATTATTTAAATTTATGTTCAATTATTTAAACTCCCTATATATATATATATATATATATATATATATATATATATATATATATATATATATATATATATATATATATATATATATATATATATATATATATATATATATATATATATATATATATATATTTATTTATTTATTCATAAATTCATGTAATTTTGTAATGCATTACAAAATTCCTTTAAGGTTTAACTCTTCCCAATAGTTATTCACATATATTTACTTCGATATATAAGTTATTTGGCTATATTTACATTCCTAAATCCTAATAAATTTAAAAAGTAAACAAAATTGTTTTTTTGAGAAAGAGACCGGTTAAAATAAAGATTTTAGTGATTAGACAAGAAAAACTAAGCTCTTAAGACAGAAAGGTTTATAGAGGTTTATAGAAAGGTTTTTAGAGCGGTAGAATACCTTTCTAAAAATGGTAAGTTCCTAAAAGAAAAAGTTCCTAAAAAAAAAGTTAGATTTAAAAAAACTAGCTATTTAAAATAAGTTCTGCAATTCTCAACCCTAAAATGGTATGTAACTTGTCAGATTACTTATACCAACTAATCAGAAGCATTTCACTAATGCACAAACCTAATATTTACTCAACTATACGCATGTAGCTCAAAAAAAAAATCAGAACATGTTATTCTCTTTACTAAATTGTATCCAAAACACAAGCTGTGTAAGAGGGTTTATAGTTGCATATTCCAGTACTTATATATATATATATATATATATATATATATATATATATATATATATATATATATATATATATATATATATATATATATATATATATATATATATATATATATATATATATATATATATATATATATATATATAGTATTGGACAAAACATTTACAACCAACATCGAACAATGCTAAAAAGTGTTTCTAATTTTACATGTCTTAAAAACGAAACGAACTATACTATCACAGCAAACAGTTCAGGAGTCTGGAGTCATAGCATGTCATGACATGAGCAATCAACTGACAGGTGACAGCACACAGGCAGAATTTCGTTGACAAGTGCCATTTTACAGCGGACAAAACAAGTGCAACTTTTTTGGCTTGTTTCATTTTCTTAAGTCTGGTCCGTGTCAACGTCACGGAAGTTTTTTAAAAATTAACGGAAGTATCCAGAAGTTTCCAGAAGTTCCCAGAAGCATGCAGAAGCTTCCAAAAGTTTCCAGAAGAAGCATCTGGAAGCATCCAAAAGCATCCAGAAGTATCCAGAAACATTCATAAGTATCGAGACGCATCCAGAAGCTTCCAGAAGCATCGAAAAGAAGCATCTAGAATCTTCCAGACCAGGTTCATTTTACTATATAAGAGATATGTGAACCGACATGTAATTCAGTCAGTATATGGAAGTCAATCAGTCAGTATTATCAAGACAGTTTATCGAAGTGAGTTTTATCAAAGTGTTTTATCAAAGAACATCAATACAAGTAGTGAAATACAACATGTGTTTCATTACATTAATCCAACCAAGACGTTGTGTTCCACAGAGCATTATTGTACCATCATAAGGTAAATGTAACACGGTAAGCTTTGAGAGTCGTGATTATTTATTTTTATTATTTTTATGACTTCAAGGACAAAAATGGTTCCCGACAGTCTTGGATTATAACTAAGAAAGAAAATTATTGGCGATTACTAAGTGGAATATCACAAAAAAGTATTTGTGATGAATATCGCGTGAAAAAATGGACCGTATCAAGGCTATGTTCTAAATATCGTTTTACAAAGAAATTGGCAGCAGTTAACAAAAGTGGAAGACCGCGTTCCACCACTTTTAGAGAGGATTCTATGATCTTCAGATCCATCAAGAAGGATCCCTGGATATCATCAGTCATGATACAAAAGCAATTAAAGCTGCCTGTATTGGACCGAACAATCAGACGACGTGCTGTTGAAGCCGGATTGTTTTCTCGACGCCCTGCAAAGAAACTGCTGATTTCACTAAGAAAAGACTCCTGTTTGCTACGATGGCATTTGACGTGTACGTCGACCGGCCGGAAAACGCCTCAATTCACGTTACTGCCATAAGACCGTGAAGCATGGTGGGGGCAATGTAATGGTTTGGTGGTGTTTTTCTGCTAACGGTCTAGGTCCAATACATCGAAACGATGGAATAATGGATCGTTTCGTGTATAAAAATATCCTGAAAGATGTTATGTTACCTCATGCTGAATGGAATATGCCAATAAAATGGGTTTTTCTGAAAGACAACGATCCGAAACACACTGCAAAAGCAGTCAAGCAGTGGTTTCAAGACAATCACCTATCGGTGATGGTTTAGCCGCCTCAATCTCCAGATCTCAACCCAATGTTGAGTCCCCACAATCTAAAACACAAGTTATCAAAAATATTTCTCTATTCTTGCTTTGAAAGCATTCAACGATCTTGCTTCTATGATTTCATTTGATAATAAATGAATTAATTCTGCGGTTGATGATCTCCCACAGGTTCCACAGAACCTGTGGGAGATCGTCAACCACAGAATTAATTGTGAAGGTATTCGTAATAAGGATCAACTGTTTGAAAAAATCCAAAAGGCCTGGGCAGCGATTCAAAAAAGTTTCATTGATCACCCTATCGAATCTATGCCTCGAAGATGCAAGGCTGTGATCGACATCAAAGGATTCGCCACGAAATAGTGATAGCAAAATACAGCTTGGTCAACATTTTGTGGAGTTGCACTTGTTTTGTCCAGAAGAAAATCAAGTTTTTTTAATACTTTTGATTAATTTATTATTTTTCGTGTACAAATAATGAACTTTGTGATGAATAAAACTTGAATAACGTTGTCTCTAAACAGTTACATAGTTATTTCTCTAAATTGAAAAATAGCAGCACTTTTATATAAAGAAACTAAATTAGCATTATTTAGTTGCACTTGTTTTGTCCGATATTGAATATATATATATATATATATATATATATATATATATATATATATATATATATATATATATATATATATATATACATATATATATATATATATATATATATATATATATATATACATATATATATATATATATATATATATATATATATATATATATATATATATATATATATATATATATATATATATATATATATATATATATATATATATATATATATATATATATATATATATATATATATATATATATATATATGCAGCATTTATATTTATATACATATATATACTATATATACATATATATGCAATATATATATATATATATATATATATATATATATATATATATATATATATATATATATATATATATATTATATATACATTTATGCAGTATTTAAGTATTAACAGAGTACCAGGATGTTCTTTAATAGCTTGCTGATTATGAAGAATGTATTCTATATTGTAAAGTTGGGTTATAGTAATAGTTATAGTTATGTTCATTGCTGTAACAATTACAATTTTTTTTTTATATAATAAAGTATTTAAAAAAAAAAAAAAAAAAATCTGAAACACGATGCACGCATTATGTTATAGATAGCCCCCACAATCTAAAACACAAGTTATCAAAAATATTTCTCTATTCTTGCTTTGAAAGCATTCAACGATCTTGCTTCTATGATTTCATTTGATAATAAATGAAATCATAGAAACATAAAAGAAATAGAAGAAATAAATTATAGAAGAAATAAATAGGTAAGATTGAGCGTCAAGTCAGAGTTTATGCGAGGAAAAAACTTGAATAGAGACTTGCATGAGGTTTTGAGAATAACTAAATCTCTCAGACAGCATTGATTATATTATAACTTTTTGTAAACAAAGAAAAAGTATGGCTAAATTTTGTTTTGAGGTGATACATATATGAAAATTTTTTATAATTCAATTTAAAAAAAAGCTCAAGCATTGGCACACAACTCCCCTAAAAAAATTTTTTTTCTACCTATTTTTAATATTTTTTGACCTCATGTGCGCCATCCTTAAAAATATTGAATTCAATTTTTTTATATATATATTTTAACAATGATTTATGTTTAAAAAACAAAACAAAAAAACTTGGTACTCTAATTCTAGTTTTTATCTTCTTGATAGTGGAAAACTTGTAAAAGCATATCCCAGTGGGCGCAGGACGTGAAAAAGACATCTTTTAAAGGTCTTATGAACGCCATTCGAACAACTTTTAAACGTTTTGGACGTCCAAAACAAGTCTTTTTTAAGGCCGGTTTCCCACGGGAACAGAAGTTAAAATGCACACAAAAAATACAATTTTATCTATTTCAGAAATTAAGATTTGGTGATTAATATAGATAACTAGCAGATATGAAGTAAGATTTGAACTTTTATATTTATATCCAGTTCGAATGCTTTGTAAAAAATTGCAGTGATTGTAGCCTAGGAATAACAAAAACGCTAAAACATGTGCTCTTAAGCTCCAAGTATGATTGTTACCAAGATTTATACTATTGGTATTCCAAACTTATACTGATTGACAGATTTTAAGTTTCATTCAATAATATTTTAGTGTTCGAAAGCTATGACTATCTAAAGTTTTCGCCCGCCCGAAATAAGGGGGTTAAAATCTTTACACCGTTATAACTTAAAATATATAACTATAAAATGAGGGGGTTAAAAACTTTACACTGTTATAACTTGAAATATATAACTATAAAATGAGGGGGTTAAAAACTTTACACTGTTATAACTTGAAATATATGACTATAAAATGAGGGTTAAAAAACTTTACACTGTTATAACTTGAAATATATAACTATAAAACGAGGGGGTTAAAAACTCTTGAAAACTTATTTATATTTTTAGAGATTTAATATAATTTTTATTAAAAGTTACAATAAAATAAAACCTAAACTTATCGGTCTCATATTTTGGGCTGGGGGACACAAGTTGCATATTAAGTTATGAACCATATGCATTTGTAGCTGTATTTATAGACCAGGAAGCGATGATTTAGTAATTTGCTAAAAGTTATCAATTTCATTAAAGAAAGTTACAAATATTTCTGAAGAGCTAAAATGTATTCTGAGGTTATAATATGTGGTGATTTCAATATTTCATCCTTAATTAGTTTATGGAATCCTAGTTATGAAAGTGTCTGCATTGGAGAGACAGTTTCCGGAATGCATTGAACAATGTTATTTTACACAACATTTAAAAAACCCAACATTCTAACTAAATGACAAAAAATTAAGAAATATATTAGATTTAGTGTTCACAGCCTCTCCTTTTAGCATATCTAGCTTGGTACGTATGGAACCCTTGGAATAAAGAATTAAAACACAAAATTTGACTCAAGCGTAACCTCTGATATCGATTCAAAGCAATAAAAAATAAATAAAAAAAAATAAGTTGTAACAGAATCGAAAAAAAAAATCCAAAACAAATTTATCCTTATATTAACAGTAAACTAAAAGCTAAAGACCACATGAGAGCAATTTCAATTGAAAACAATTCAACAGACAGTAAAGTTATTGCTAATAAATTAAATCAACTTCAACAGAACAGTTAGTAAAGTTATTGCTAATAAATTAAATCAACTTTCCAACTCTGCCTACATGTGAAAGTATAACAGTAAAATTTGTGCTATCCTTTTGTTTAATGAGAAAGATATAAAAAAACGGTTATCAAATTTAAATGTACACAAGTCTCCAGATATCGATAAAGTTCATCCAATATTTTTAAGTACGCTAACAGTTTAGCTAGACCACTCTGTATGATATTTAACCACTCATTTCTAAGTAGAACATTGCCTACACCCTGGTTAAAAGCGAACATTACACCGATTTTTTAAAAAAGGGACTGGCTGCATGCGGGTAATTACTGTCCAATTTTATTGACCTATGTTGTTTGTAAACTGATGAAAAGTATTATTAAGGAAACAATAATAAACCATTTAAGTAAAAATAAATTTATAATACCAGAGCAACACGTATTCATTAAATCTAAAAAATGTGTGACAAACCTTCTTGAGATATTAAACATAATAACAGAACTGTTTTTGAAACTGAAGTCGTTTGGTATTGTTAGAATATTGTTGCAATGGTGTATAAATTGGTGCATATTGCTAAAATGGTGTGCAATGGTATACAATGGTGTATATTGCTAAAGAAGCTTTATAAAGCTTCTTTAGTAAACTGAAAAGAGAGAACTGTTTTAGGACTATTTGATTCGGAATGGGAAGTAGTTTGTAAAAGGGTACCACAAGGATTGGTAAAAAGAAAAGGTTTGTAACTTTGTTTTTTTTTAAATTTATATAAATGATTTAATAAAAGAATTGAACAATAAAGCAAAGCTGATGAATATATGGTAATGATTTTAAAATAATTGCAGTTATAAAAAAAAAACAAAAAAAAATAAATCACTCTCTACAGTTTGATCTTCACATCTTATTTAACTGGACATAAAATTGGCTAATCAGTTTTACTAAAGATAAATGTAAAATCATGCAATTTTACATTTATCTTATATATTTTAAACTATACTTTATTTTTGATAATCCAAAAATAAAATATAGTTTAAAACATAATGCCACGGAAAAAGATATCGTTCAACATGAATTAATAGTAACGTCATTGGAAAGAGACCTTGGTGTTTATGTGGAATAATTTAAAATGGGAAAACCTCATTAAAAAAACGAAAGGCAAATCAAAAATTGGGTATGTTAAAACACGCAATCCAGATAAAACATCAAGGAAATTGTTACATACGTCATTTATTTGGAAGCACTTGGAATATGCTTCTCAAATAAGGAACCTATATTTTATTAATGATATTAACTTTATTGAAAAAATTCAAACAAATAGCTACAAAATTTGGCAACAAAAAAAAAGGAAACAGTTACAAGCAAAGATTAGAGCAAATGGACTTTTAAAATCTATCTAATACAAGAGAAAACAGTTATCTTATTCTAATGTACAAAGCCATAAACAAACATGGTACTATCAATTGGCATCGTGAACCAGAAGTTTTACGCAGGCTAACTTAGGACACTATCAAAAATTGAGAAGGCAGTATGTTTAAAACGTTTTGCCGGAACATCATTTCTTTACGAACCGTGTAATTGAAAATTGGAATCGTTTTGACAGTGAAGTTGTCGATGCTAACCTAGTGATTGAATTTAAAATAAACTTAAAAAATGTTGCAAAAACAACAGTTAAAATTTAACATCTACAGTTGCTAGATTTTTTTCTTGAGACTCTCAAAAACACAGCTTGAATTGTTAATTATTAAAAGTTGTCAATGCTTTAACCAACACTGGCTCTACTTAGTTCTGTAATGTTTGTGGAGCAAATTCATCTCAAATTAATGACTTAGAAAATGTTGGAGGAAGGAAGTGTTATGAAAAGATCTTCGAACATGATTTGTTTACTCCATACTTCAGGATTTCAATAAAGTAATGTGTAGTTTATATAGGAAAAGACGGAGCAAGATGACGAACGTTTTGAACGTTATGCAAATATATATATATATATATATATATATATATATATATATATATATATATATATATATATATATATATATATATATATATATATATATATATATATATATATATATATATATATATATATATATATATATATATATATATATATATATATGTATGTATTTATCAATACTTAGTAACTATATAAAACCTTGTAAAAAACACGTAGTCAGTATTCCTCTCGTTTTGACAATGATTTTTTGAATTACTTTATAATTACGAAACAAATATAAAATATAAAATAAAGGGTTTAGAAACAAAAACCATTCTACAAATTTATTTTCCAAGTTAATAAGGTGCTCAAAGGACCTAACAGTCTTTTACAATGCACTGCAAATACTATTGACCAATTATGCTTTATCTTTAGTTAACAGTTAAGACTCTTTTCTTCAGCTTATGAATTATTTAATTTGAAATAAAGATTTAAACAAAAACATTTGTACACATAAACTCAAAAAATCATTGTATTTTTATGCGAGGAGGCATTCAAGCTGTTTTTTGTGCACTATAACAAAAATGAGATTGCACATAATAAAAAAATAGTTTTTAAGAAAACTAAACATGTATTTTTATTTCTATTTTAATGAAAACATGTTCGTAAAAAGATGTTTTCGCGCAAAAGTTGTTTTCACTCAAAAGTTGTTTTCACTTTTAACTCTTAGAGAACGACTGCTGAATTTAGCTTCTCAAATAGAAAAAAAGATTTTTAAAAATTTATTTAAAAAAAAATTATTTCTAGTAAACAAAGTTTTAATATTTTATTGGTATTAATATTTAATGAGCTTTTGTAATATCTATAGATTTATTCATTGTTTTTTTGTGAAAGAAAAATTTTATAGCGGACAAACAGAAAAAATAGTATAAAAGAACATAACAACTTTCAGTCTAGAATGTATTACTTGCTTATATATGCTTTTTTACATCAATATCTCTTACTGGGTTTTAGTAATTTATTGATTAAATTATTTTATCGAATTTTCTCAAAATATATAGCTAAGGTATAGTTTATTTAAAAAGGTAAATGTATCGCGGAAATAAAAAATAAAATCGTTTAAATTGATTAAAGTTCAATTCATTTTATTTTTTTATTTTATTTCAGTAAAATCATATTACAAACGACATTAGCTCAAAAAATAAAAAAAATTCTTTTACTGTGTTTTCTTTCTTTCTAAATTTATCACAAAAATATGTCAAAAAGCTCGAGATTTAATTGTATAGCTGTTGACGATAGTCTCGCAAGCGAGCAAGCGTTCTTGTGGTACCTAGAAAATTACCACAGAACAGAAGATACTCTTCTTATTATTCATATTCATTGTATGCCTCCTATGCCAACGTCATCATCAGTTTGCGAAGATTTTAATTCCACTCAAAATTATTACAAGATTGTTGAAGCAAGCATTACAAATAGTAAAAGAGTTTTAGAAAAGTTCCAAACTTTGTGCGAAAAATTATCAATTAAATATAAAGTCGTGTTGGGAGATGACTCTTATTTTCCAGGTTACATGATTTGCGAGTTGAGCATAGAACACAACGCAAGCGTTATAATTGTTGGAACTCGAGAGCAGAGCGAAAAATCGAATACATATCTTGGATCAATAACATATTATCTTCTTCACAATGGTCGCATTCCAGTTGTTACTATTCCAGAAATTAAAAATTAAATGAAGACAAAGATTTATAAGCATTTATAAGTTGATATTTTTATATTGTGAAAACCCTATTTAGTTGTAATACACTATTATAACATGTATTATGAAGTACTTTTTATATAGCATTCCATTAACATACATAACAGATAGTACACAAAAAACATGCTTTGGTGCGTTTTGACAAGTAAGTTATGATTAGCAAACATACTTGTCTTAAAATTATTTTCAGTTTCAAACGTTACCTTTTCTCCTTGTTTTTAGCAGACCAAATAAATTGTAAAATAGTTTTACAAAAGTGAACTATTTTGTTATTAATACAAAAGTTAACTATTCTGTAGTTTATACAATAGTGAACTCTTCTCTAATTTATACAATAATGGACTAAAATTAAAATGTAGTTTTTTTTTTTTTTTAATTTTAGGTGCCCCAAGAAGTTTTTACAGTCTTATCACAGGGCACCGCGGAAAAGTATTTGAAAGAAATTTTACGCCTTCTTCCTTAACGATGTTGTAAAACTTGCCAAGGAGGTGGCTTTAATCCACGAGTCTCTAGCTTCTGATGCAAGCGCTAACCTCTGCGCTACGACTGCTCTGTAAGTTATGACAGGTTAAAAGTTAAAGAATTTACAAATATTATGTTAGAAAATTGGAAAGACAAAAAGAAAAAAGAAAAAAATAAATAAAAAATAGGACTTTGATCTACTCGAAAAGAAAATCAAAAAAACAATTTAAAACGCACTTTTTAGGCACACGGCAAGTTTTAAGAGCAATTACTTCTAAAACAGTATTAAAGCTAATGATGAAATCATTAGCTTTAATACTGTCTTTTTATCCACCTAATGATGAAATCATTAGCTTTGATAACTTTCCTGTCTTTTTATCCACCACTTATAAAACCTTTATAAACTATTTTCCCCCTGTGAGTTGTCAATGAAACATTTCTTTTTCCCTCATTTCCTCAATTTTTTAAGTGTTTAGCAAGGAATAGATAAAAAAAAGGAACCCCTATGACCCTAAAAAAGTTTCAATCACTAAAGTTGCCTATTTATTCTAAGTTACCTCTAAAACTCTAAAAGCTTGGCTATGACTGCAAAAAAATGTTAATTATTTAACAAATCTTTTCAAAACATACCTTAAGTAACATACTTTTTTAACTGCTGTTTCCATTAAGCATCAATATTTCCTTATATTGTAACTTTTTCAAAATAGCACTGGACGGCATCAGTGTGTTGTTTAGTTTGTTATATATAATAATGTTTATGTGACCAGTCATCGAATCCAGTTTTAAGGTTTTCATTTGAACCTTGAAAAAGCAAGCAGAAGAAACAAAACATTTTTCAGTAGATGGTAAATAAATTAGCCAGTCTCTTTCAAATTTTACCATTTTTCAACTTAAAAGAAAAACAGTTCAGAGAGCAGTATTCAGGGCCGGCGGTCGCATAGGGTGCCGGCTAGTAAAAAGTAGTAGTTTGTTAATTATTTGAAAAAATAAGTTTTTGAGTCATCATGCGATTTGGGTTTTTTTTTTATAGAAAACGCAAATCAGATATGAAAAGACTCTCTATAACTGATTTGCAATGATTCTTTTTCTGTCCAATAGCGCTTAAATTTACAACCAAGTACCAGTAAAAGTACATCATTCCATTTTTATTTAAGGTTTAGATTTTCTTGAAAAAATAAAACGTATAAAAATACAGTACAAAATCTTTTATTTTAAATAAAAACTTTAGTTTTAACTCCTCTCTTTGTACTGTGCAATTTCTTGGTACTCAAGGATGAGCTTAATATGGAACAAATGAAACAGTTTTCAAAGAAAACGATGAAAACTTTTTAAAACTTTTTGAACACTTTTCACACTGTTCTTTCTGAACATCTTCGTCGGGTAACTGCCTAAAAATATGTACATTCTTTAAACGAAAAAATTCAAAATGAGTTTATTAGTTTTCTTTTCTGTAAAATTATTGAGTTTATCTTGTGTGAACTGCAGAATATTTATCTTGTGTGAACTGCAGAATATTTTGTATTATTCTATAAATTTTGGCTGAACTCCTGACATAATTCGTAAAGAATAAAAGATACATGTAGTTTGGTTTGTGTATGCAGTTGCAGGAGAAGAAGTAAAGGAGAGGGAACAAATTCTTCAATTTGTTCATGTCTCAGAACCTTGACATTGACCCACGAATAACTTTTTTTCTGGATTGAACCTTAATGGAGTACATTAACAAATTATGTAAACAATTTGACTATTAATGTTTTAAGTTATACCCGTTAGGAGAGCAGGATAGACCCCCTTAATCATTTGCGGTACCACATTGATGAAGTTTATGACGCTGTCTAATTCAAAGATTTTAAGATTGATGCTTTTGGAAAATGTAACGCTATGGGAATGGCCTAACGCTATGGGAATGTAACGCTATGGGAATGTAACGCTATGGGAATGGCCTAACGCTATGGGAATGTAACGCTATGGGAATGTAACGCTATGGGAATGGCCTAAAAAACTACAGCTTTCAAATTCTCTCGGTATGATGTCTCGTTCAAATTTAATTTAGTAAGCAAAACACTTAAGATGAAAACTGTTAATCTTTAGAGCGCTTTGAGACTAATTGAAAGTGTCAAGACTTTTTTGGAGAGCATGAGATCGGAAAATGGGCTGTATAGTGTTATTATAGATGCCATGAAACTGGTAGAAAAACTAGACATCAACCCAGGGTCGTCCCGAAAATATCTTAAAAAAAACATTTGCCGACTGCCAACTATAGATCCAATTTTGCCAACTCCAGTGTATACGTTGACTAATGAATTTTCGTAAGATGGCTAGTTATCCTCCTACTCTCCCCTTCGGGCTGCCTCTGCATCAATATAAAGTTCTCTGATGAAGTTGTGGTCAAGCCAAGAAAGAACAAAATTTACTACAAAGCAAAGAAAGCAATTTATACAAATACAAAGCAAAGAAGCAAATTTACTACGAAGATTAATTTGTGAAGTCGGTCATTTTTTGAAATTTCTTTTTTGTAGTTTTAGATATTACAATTAATAAAAGATTTAAAAGATGGGAAATTGCAGGAAACATTTTGAATTCCTCTATAACATAAAACGTAAAAAATGTGAAACAGATGCATTTAAAGAAAAGTGAAAAAACTTGCAATTCGTTTTGACAGTTGATGGCAAGAGTGACGTTAACAGGAATACACTGTAAGGTGAAACAACATTGTCATTGTTAGCCTTTTCAAAACTGTTTGATTGACATCTTCCTAATGTGTACGTAGTATTGAAAATTTGCTTTTGCTCCGAGTATCCGTCGCCAGCGGAGAAAGGAACTTTTCTAAATTAACATTTTTTTAGAAACATTTATGTAAGTAACATTTATTCTATTTGTATATAAAAACATATAAAAATATAAACTTATAAAATATTTTTAAAGATATTTTTAACGGATACACTTTTTTTGAAATAGGGGGCGCAAAACAAGTTTTTTTAATGTTAAATATTCAAAGAACTTTAGCTTCCGCTTGTAAAGTTATATCTCAATTAAATTCTACGGCTTGTGGTCCAGAGAATATTTCTGTCATAATCTTACAAAAGTATTCTCCAGAGTTCTCTTTAATTTTTTATAAAATATTTAACAAATGTTTGACTAAATTTTGTTTTCTTACATGCTGGATAATGACATCTGTGGTTTTCATTTTTAAAAATTCTGGAGATCATTTTGATCCCTTTAACTATCGTCCTATCAGTCTTTTGTCTGTTATTAGCATGGTCTTTGAGTCTTTGATCAACAAGTTTATAATATACCACTTTAAGTCTCATACCTTACTGTCAAACAATCAATACGGTTTTCGAGTCTTATGTTCTAAGACTGGCTTTCTAACTGCTGTGACTTAAAGATTTTGTTGTGTATTAGATGGAGGCTGCAGGGCTTGAGCTATTGCTTTTGACCGCTTTATTAGAGTTATTCTCGAAGGCCAACATTTATCTTTATTTCCAGTAACTTCTGGAGTTCCTCAAGGTTCTCTCCTAGGTCCTATTTTGTTTCTAATCTTTTTTATTGACCTTCCAGAAAACTTGAAATCTACACTGGCTCTATTTGCTGATGACTCAACTTTATACAAAAATATCTTAACAAAAAGTCTTCTCTTTTCGATCGCTTAAAACCAACAGCTTGTAAATTTGAAAATCAACAAAACTCAGTTGTTAACTGCTATCAACTATTCCAATACTGTTGACATTCTTATATATGACTATCCTCTCACTTTGTCCTTTTCTTCAAGACGTGAAAATGCTTAGTATCTACTAAGGTTGTTTCAGTTTATCATTCTCGCGATTTTATTACTCCTGATTCCATTCTTTATCTCTACAAATTTCTTATTTGCCCCTGTATGGAATAATGTTGTCATATTTGGGCTGGTTTATCTAATGATGCTCTTTCTCTTATAGATATGGTCCAAAAACGCATTGTAAACGTAGTTGGATGGGAAAAAGGCTTAAGTAGTTGAATGAAAGAAAGTCTTAAACTTGGCAGCTCTATCTGCCAAGCTTAAGCCTTTCTCCAATTTTCGTAAATTTGCATCTTTTTCTTTATTTTTTAAAAACTTGCATGGTCACTGCTCATAAGAACTATCGTCACTAGTTCCACCAACCAAAACTTATTCTCGTTTGAATCAACATTTATCGAAATCTTATTTTTTTATTGTATCTGTCCCTGCATGTTTTAAAAATTTTTATTTGTCTAGTTTTTTTCCTAGCACTCCAACCCTTTAGAACTCTTTCCCACCTATATGTTTTCGTGACTCATCCTATCTACAAATTTTCAAGTCTTCTATCAACCGCTTTGAACCGCTATGAACCGCTTTCTTAATCTTTAATCTTAATCTTTAAATTTTGCTGGAAAACTTGCGTTTAGGCTTTTTGGATTATCTTCTAATGACGAGGAACCATTATTAGCTGAGGCACCATTTACAACATCGGAAAGTTCATTTGTTTCTCGTAAGGATGAATTAAACGCACTTCGTAATAAAGACAGCATCACACACTTGCCTAAAGCTACTGATCAATTCAAATGGCTTAAAAAAGAAAGTTTTTGTTGTACCGATACGGGCAAAAGAACAGAAAATTTTGTACGGAATGCATGTTATACGGAATACGGACAAAAGAACAAAGAATCTTGAAAAAAATTACAATGCGATACTCAATATAAAATTACAATGTGATACTACAATGGAAGGATGCCATGACAAAAAAAAATAATAAAAAAAAAAGGTCTTCGTTTTCCAAAATTTGCCGACTGCCATGACGACATTTGCCGACTGTCTAGATTACCGACTAACCTATATCGAAAGGGTCGACATTTGCCAACTAACTAGTCTAAAAGGGTCTAATTTGCCGAGTAAAAATCATTGATAGGGGGGAGGGGTATCACACACCCCGCAACCCCCTATCGCGTCGGCCTTGATCACGATTATCTGATGTATCGCTAAAGTCTTTAGTTTTCTTAAGATTTTTTTACAATAAAAAAAGTGATTGTAAGTTTTATTTCTAAATACAAACATAATGTTAGAACACTTTATTTAAATAACTTTTAAATAATAAATAATGCAAGATAAACTTACATAAGCTTTATTACATAACAAGAAAAACCGAAAACCACAGTTAACCCAGGTTTTTTTTTTTTCAATTAAAACCGAAACCACGATTTTTTATAAATAGGGTTTTTTGGAAACTCTATGTATACCTATAAACAGGTGTTTCAGAAATTCAGAAAGAGTTTCTTAAATATATGATGCAATTATTCTAGAAATATACCATATCAAACTATATATATATATATATATATATATATATATATATATATATATATATATATATATATATATATATATATATATATATATATATATATATATATATATATATATATATATATATATATATATATATATATATATACAAATATATATATACAGTATGTATTACTGTTACCCGCAGTATCAGGAATTAGCTAAATGCTAATATTTATAATATTATTTGCTACTCAGAGTTTCACGTGTTACCACAATCTTCAGGTAAGTAGAGAAAAATGTATTTTACTACCAATATTAAATAAATAAAATATTAAACCAATATTAAATATATAAAATATTAAACTACTATAATATTATAAATATTAGCATTTAGCTAATTCTTGATACTGCGGGTAACAGTAATATAGTTTATCTATTGAGCACTCTTTAAAATATACCTTATTATACATGATAATATTAAGATACTGTCCGTAATATTCACATATATACACTAAGATATATATATATATACATATATATATGCATATATATATGTATATATATATATATATATATATATATATATATATATATATATATATATATATATATATATATATATATATATATATATATTTATTTATTTTTTATTTTAGGTGTCTCAAAAAGTCCTAACGGTCTTGTCACAGAGCACCGCGGAAGTGCATTTAACCAGGAAGTTCACGCCTCCTTCCTTACCGTGATGCAAATTATGTCCAAAGCTTGTTTCAAACCTGGATCTCCTGCTTATAAAGCAAGCACTCTAACCACTGCGCCTTAGCCGCACTAAATACAAGGCCGGCGCGATGAGGGTGGGTGTAGGGGTGTAAGACCCCCCTATCAATGATTTTTTTGTTAGTTTAGTCGGCAGATTTATATATGTATATATATATATATATATATATATATATATATATATATATATATATATATACATATATATATATATACATATATATATATATATATATAATATATATACATATATATATATATATATATATATATATATATATATATATATATATATATATATATATATATAATATATATATATATATATATATATATATATATATATATATACATATATATATATATAGGGGAAGTGGGGGCATAACCACCCCTGTAACGTTTGGATTAATGTTATACAAAAATAAAAACGAAATGTGTTTTTTTAGAAGTTTATTTCAATAACCACATCATTAAGCTTTAAATTGATGCATTTAAGTAAAAAACTGAACGGGTTTTGAAAATGTTATTACGCAAAAATTACACTTAGTGAAAAAAACGGTTTTGCCCCCATTGTAAGGCACAACCACACCCTCACAAAAATCAATGGGGCTACACCTTTCATGGTACATTTTTTTACAATTTTCATAGCTCAGATTATTTGATGACTTTGTTGCATGTTTGCATACTGTGCAGGCATTTTTTGTATTTACATTTTGAGTTTTGCCCCAGAAGAGAGTTCTGCCAAGAAGAGAGTTTTTTAGAAGAATTGAGTTTCATAGCTTAATTATTAGATTATGGTATTATTAAAAATGGCTTTCACTTCATGAAATAATACTGATAACATATATCTTTAACACTAAAATCGAATATTGCTTAATTCTCAAAAAAAAAGTCAGGAAAAATATGATGTAAATATAATATTTTTATGAAAAAGAAACATTATTATTCACAACTTCTCAGAAACTTAACAGTCACTATTTTTGACATATGCAAAATGAAGGAAAATGCTTTACTAACGTGTGGTATGTTTTTTTCCATATTAAAAAACATTTTTTGAAGAGAAATGTTAAAAAACGGTTGTGCCTCCATATGCGGGTATGCCCCCACTTCCCCTATATTTGTATATATATATATATATATATATATATATATATATATATATATATATATATATATATATATATATATATATATATATATATATATATATATATATATATATATATACAGGGCTTTCGAGAGGGCAAAGGGGGCAAATTGACCCGGGCGCCAATCTTGAAAGGGCGCCGGATAATCTGTTTTTTTTTTTGTTTTTTTTTTTTTTTTAGCAATAAGTAGAAAACATTTTAATGATTGACAATGTAAAATTTGCTTAGTTTTTGTATTTAAAATTAAAACTTTTATAATTGGAATAAAAATGCACAAAATTTATAAACTACTTTTAACGAACAAAATAGGGTTTAGTTGTAGTAGACAGAACCGGGCGAATTTTGTTCGCCCATGAACACTTAGCCATGCTAGCTCGCGCTTGATAAGTTAAGAGAAATTAAAGTTAAGAGAAGTTAAAGCGAAGGAGACACTAGTTGACAATTTCACGATAAAAAGCGCTACTTTTTCAAGTAGTATTTAACTAGAGAAGCAAATGAGAGAATTGAGCGTCGCATTTTTTAGGAAAATAAGCCGCTTTGTCTCTACCTGGTCTCCAAGAAGTCTTCACGGTCTTACTTCAAATCACCGTGGAAGAGAATTTGAAAATAAATTCCATCGTCTTTCCTTACCGACGTTATAAAACTTGCCCAGCGGTGGGAGATCTCTAGTTTCTAAGGCAAGCGTGCTAACCACGGCGCTATGACAGCTCAAGTTGATAGAGTTTTTGCATAAGGTTTAAAATAGACGAAATGCAAACTTTGAACCCAATAGAATTATTATTTTTTTGCTCAAATTGTTGGTGGAAATGTTGAAATTTTAATTCAATGCGTTGGTAAAACTTAAATAAACCAGAAACCCCACTGAAGTGGGGTTTCTGGTTTACGGTTAGAAAAATTGTTGATGTTGATTAAATAAGTATTTGGTTATTAACCCTTTCACAGTACATGACGTATTATTACACAAACTTAAAATGATTTTTAATTGCCCATTATTACTAAATAACTACAGAGCTTTTGTTTTATCAATTCACTTTTACACGTGTTCACAATTTAACAAATAAGAAAGTTCTTTCAGTGGAAAAATAGTTATCAAAAAGTAAATATTTACTCAAGAAAAAGTAGAAAATTATACATTTGATGAATCAATAATAAAGAGATATGTTTGATGAATGATTATTGAAAATGATAATAAAAGATTAATGCTTAAAGAAGGTGTGTGGTATGTTACAAACGCAAAATCCAAAAAGATTTAAGAATGTGAATGTGTAGAATGTGATGAATGACTTTGTGTAGCTTCTTACTTTTCCAATTGAAGGAGCTAAAAAGTGCGAAGTCTCATTTATTGTTTTGAGAAAAACACAATAAACTAATTGTCCTGCGAAGATCTTACTAATATCTATAATTTATATATATATATATATATATATATATATATATATATATATATATATATATATATATATATATATATATATATATATATATATATATATATAAATATTAGATAAATAGAAGATAATTAGCCTTAAAAGCATGAGACTGGCGAAATTGGTTAGTGACTTTGGTTATAACTGAATTATAAGTCCAATTAGCATTTTAAAGAAATAAAAGTTTAACTAAAACATATATAATATTTTCAATATAAACATTTTAAATAAAAAATTAGGCAATAAAACAGTTTTAAACAAAAAACAACAACAAATATACAAGTATCAGTGGCTGTTACAAACACTTCGACTCCAAAATAGTAAGTAGAATAAAAATAATTTATGTTCTTTTATCCGATTGTTATATAAAAAAGTTTGCGTTTTTTGAGTAAAATTTCAGCCAGTATAAATGCGGATATATGATATTAAAACCTTTGTTTACAAATGATTTATAAATTACAAAACCTTTTAGGTGTTTCTAAAAAATGAATCGAAAGAAATCTTCTGGCGCACAAAACCGTGCTAAAGCTACTAAAAAAGTAGCAGAAAAAGCACAAAATAGACAGACTTTATAGGATATGGGATTTAAAACCATCACACAGACCAAAGAGAACGTTTCTTCTCCAAAAGCTTAATTAAGCTCTTCAGTAAGTTAAATGTTTTTTGCATCATTTTTTTTTCTGGTATTATAATCTTTGTTGTTATAACTAACTTTTTTTCTAAGGATCCCTTATATAATGACCATGACTCCCAGTCAGTCTATAAGTACCAATAGGAACCAATGACCTCTCCTCCTTTTTCATGCTCACCTGCTGCATATGTGGAGGCCTCAAACAATTCACGTGAAGATGAGTTAAATAAACTTCAAAGTGACTCATTAGATTCAGAGGAAGAAACTTCAACAAAGGAGGATGTAATGCTGAACCTGACTTGGTAACAACTTATGCTGAGCCTTTTTTGTGGCCAGTTGTTTTATGTCTAAAAGTTCAAGATGTAATCATTTTAGTTATTACCTCCTTCAAATTCTTTGAAGAAACAAGATTATCCCTGTGATTCTAAGAAAAGAAGCTTTCCTTTAAATGTGTTTTATCAATATTTGCCTAATAAAGAAAATGTAGAAAGAGACTTTTTTTTTTGGAGCTCTACCTCCAAGACTCTCTACTGTTTTCCTTGCTCTCTCTTGGGCACAAAAGTAGAATTCAAAAGCGAAGAATCATCATTTCTTCGTTGGAACGGAGGAGCTAAAGACCAATGGAAGAAACTCATAGATCGTGTGAAGCAACACCAATCCAGCCCATTGCATCAAAAGTTCTATGTTGATTGGAAAGAGGAATACATTCGTCTTACCAGCTCCACTGGTAAAGATTCAGAACTTCAGACGCAAATCAATTCTGAGACAGCTAAATGGAGGACAGCTCTTATGGGATTTTGGATGTGACTCTTTTCTTGGCTTCTAGGAATTTAGCTTTTCTAGGTAGCTTATTATAAGGCTCTCCTAATATCATTTTTAATCAAAATAATTATATATATATATATATATATATATATATATATATATATATATATATACACATATATATATATATATATATATATATATATATATATATATATATATATATATATATATATATATATATATATATATATATATATATATATATATATACACACATATATATATATATATATATATATATATATATATATATATATATATATATATATATATATATATATATATATATATATATATATATATATATATATATATATATATATATATATATATATATATATATATATATATATATATATATATATATATATATATATATATATATATATATATATATATATATATATATATATATATATATATATATAGGGCCTTCGAGAGCGCCAATGACGCTCGGGTCAAAAATGGAGAACGGCGCCCCTATTTCAAACCAAGAAATAACAAAAATTTAAGTTTTGCAAACGCAGGAATTATCTATTTTTAATATAGCTTTTTGTAATTCTGCGTTACTATTAATTCTCCGGATTGAGAAATGGTTCATTATTCAAAACTGACATATGAACTAAAATATTAGTTTTAAAAAACAATAAACAAAAAGTCAATCGAAAAAATCTTCTGCAAAGGTAAATAAAACCCAAAAAATAAATTTTTCGAGCTTTTTTGGCCGCCGAAAGATCGATAACATCGCTGTAGCTCACCTTCTTAGCCAAATCTTCTTCAATCGAAATAATCAAAAGGTCAGTTAAGCAAACCTGGCGCATGGTCGAACAGAGAGAGTTTTTTATAATCTTTAGTTTACTAAAGGATCGTTCATCCTCAGCAACTGACACAGGTATAGTGTTGAAAATCTGGAGCAATATGCAAATGTACGGAAAAAGGCGTTCAAGCTTCTTCTCGAACGTTTGTTTGAGTAGCTGCAGTGGGTTTCCTTGCTTAAAAACTGTTTTGCGGGCATTTTTAAAACGTCAAACTTCTTCAATGAAATCCACTTTGTTAACATCTCTTGGATAAAATCGTGCAAACTCGCAAGCTATATTTTGAACGGAAAGTTCATCATTATCCAACCATATAAATGAAAACAAATTGTCAACCATCCTGCTTGCCTCAAACCTTGAATCAATTTGCTGAACTAGAATATCTAAATCAACATTAAAAACATTCGCTTTGAATTCTTTCGATTGGCTGTCGTATAAATAGCCTGTGTTTGATGCTTCATCGTCAAAGCGCTTTAGCTTGCGCTTTCTTTTAACAGCAAGTTGAGTTTTAAATCCTTGCGGTCCAGCTACAGCCTCTTAAAAATTTGCAACCAAGAACCCCTAATCTGTTTAAGATCTTCCAGGAGCTGCCTAATCAAACGTTGCACATCATCGATGGTAATGGCTTCAGATTGCAGAAGACGGCTAACGTCATTAACAGCAGTAAGGATTTTGTACCAAATCGTAATTAGCAGTACAAATTTAAAAGATGATAACCATTTTTTAAATGCTCTTGCTTGGCTAAGCTGCTCGCTGGTCAGATCTAGGTTTTCCATGGCATTTATAAGAGCTGTCAGTATTTCTCTTGGTCTTTTTGCAAGTGGTTTGATTGCGTCGGTACGAGAACTCCAGTATGGATCTTCCATCGGGCAGAGCTTGCACTAAAAAATGCGTATAAAGATTCGACATTTCCAAAAAATAGTTTAATCTCAATCGCTGATTCAACTGCGTGCACAACAGCCAAATTTAGACTGTGAGCGCTACAGGGAGTGTGTAGAGCTTCTGAATAGTTTTGCCATATTAAGGTTTGAGCTTCCTTGTAAGCACCTTACATATTGGATCCATTATCGTATCCCTGACTGCGACAGTTTTGAATATCCAATCCTAGCCTTGCAGTTACATTAGTGATAAGCTTGGAGAAAGAGGAGAAAACGAATAACACAGGTAGTCTGCTCAGTGTGAGATGTATCGGGGGTACTATCGAGTATGATGGTGAAGTAGATACCATCCTGGATTTGTTTGACAGCTGCATTTCGGATGATACCACCACATTCTCGGATAAACCCATTTTGAGATGATGGTGAAAGGTAATAAGCATTCATTCTGGAGCCCTATTATTGATTGCATCTCACATCTTCCAATTGGGATGCAATGACAGGGTTGTGGCGACCAATAAGCTCCATACTGGCAAAAAAGTTTCCATTTCTATTCCCATTCACATGTGTTGTTTTACCTATAAACATAATTGTATATAAGAATTATAACTAAATTATTACGATAAATATATATATGTATATATTTTTTTAATTTTTATTTAGTTGCCCGAAGAAGTCCTTACGGTCTATCACAGAGCACCGCGGATGAGCATTTAATCGGAAGTTCACGCTTCCTTCCTAACCGATGTCGCAAAACTTGCCCAGAGGTGGGGTGTTATTTTTACAAAAACACCCCAGTGCGTTATTGTAAAACAAATAACATCTAGCTAAATAAAAATAATCAAAATAACGGGGTGCCAATAAGTTCTTTACTTAGATCAAAAGTTATTGCTAAATTTTTTCGTACTAGAGAAAACTTAGTTGAGCGAAATAAAGTCTAGCAAAAAACTTTTATACAAGTCTTGCAAATAAAATGAAATAAGCGCATTTTTGCATTAATAAAGTGGAGCGCTGGTAAATTTTTAGAACCCCACAGCCCTGGTTTTACCTAGGTAAAAAATTTTTACCATCTACCCCCGGTTTATTCTCTTTAATTCTTACATAATTATATATTCATGACAATTTAATTCAATTATTTTTAAAAATTTTTTAAATAACATATTGAGAAAAAAAATCTGGTAAATATATCATTGTTACTTATGTTATATTTTTTAACTAAAATGAATGAATAATTTTTAAAATCCTTAGATTTCACACTTACAAAGCGAAACTTTTTTTTTAGTTATAATTGTTTTAGATAAATTAAAAATGTCTAAAAAGATAAAAAAGAGATTGCTAGAATCTGAATTTAACGAAAACTGTTTATTATTAAAGTTGCTATCAGATCATATGATATTGTTTGTTTTTCAACATTTGGATTCATTTTCTTTGTCTAATGCTGCTCGTGTATGTCGTCGTTGGTACCATTTAACCCAAGACAAGACACTTACAAAACATTTTGATTCACGTATGAAACCACTTAGTTTAAAACAATTATGGAATGTACTTCGTAAAAAACTCACTATATCAACTTCATCTGTTCATTTATGTGGTGCTAAGTCACCAAATAAAATCGAAATGTTATCACTTGCATTTTTAAAGGATCTTCAAATACAATGTCCTTATATAACTGCACTTAGTTTAGAACTGTTTGATTTTCACTCTATAAATATAGAAGCACTTCCAATAAATTTACATAGCTTGTCCTTAAAAGGATCAATTTTGTCATTAGGTTGGTTTGATCCATTAAAATCTGGTCGCTGTTTTACAAAATTAAAGTATTTAAATTTAACTGATTGCACAAAGTTGTGCAATAATGATTTAGAGGCTATTTCTTATATTAGTTTACTTGAGAAATTGTATTTACAAAATTGCTATAGAATATCAGCACGCGGTATTCCATCAATCACTATAAGCATGAAGTTCTTAAATACTATTGATTTATCTAAAGTTCCTGCAGTTAATAATGTTGTCATGCATTATTTGTCTCAGTTACAACAACTTCTTGAGCTTCGTTTAAGGTTTTGTCATTTAATTACTGATGATGGTATCAGGAAGTTATTTCATGGAAGTGTTGGGGAAACATTAAGAATGTTAGATATATATAAATGTCATGAGCTCACCAATAATGCTCTTGATGTTATTATAAAACAATCAAAATCATTAAAACTTCTTGACATTGGAGGAAATACCAAGTATACAGATAGTAAAGTTAGAGAGGTCTGTAGACTACTTTGTTTTTGTGATGTTAAATGGCAAGCGAATGACATTGTTTCAGAATGCTTTTTAAACAACTATGATTATAATCAATGTCTTGATGTTAAACGTCAAAGCAACCTATAAAATTTGTGCTGTCTTTTTGAAGTTAAAAATTTACTTTTAAATTAACATTCTTATGCATTTACATATAATGATCAACAAATTTTAATAATTTTTATATTTATAAATGCTAACAAAATAATACTTATTTGGAAATTTTTTAAATCTTTTGTTATAAATTTGTATTTATTACTAATTGGATAAATAGTTGTAATCTGAATCTTAAATAATTTAAATAAATATTTATTTATAGAAAAGTCTTTTATATATATATATATATATATATATATATATATATATATATATTATATATATATATATATATATATATATATATATATATATATATACATATATATACATATATATATATATATGTGTATATATATATATATATATGTATATATATATATATATATATATATATATATATATATATATATATATATATATATATATATATATATATATATATATATATATATATATATATATATATATATATGTATATATATATATATATATATATATATATATATATATATATATATATATATACAAATAGTATTGCGTACTAAGGTAAGCAATCTGACGTCATACTGAAATAGCCTGCTGCTGGGGGTTTCAGTAGATACATCGACTGACAAATAGCCTGACTCGCAGTGGAGTGCTGCTACATCGACTGAGGGTTTGGGATGGGGAAGCAATTGTTTCATTCATCATTTTTTGTTTTTTCTTCTTCTTTTTCGAAAAAAACAGTATAGCTTAAGGTAACCAGAAAAAGTGAGCAAATGCTTATCAAAACACGCTTTAGTTAGTGTGTATATATATATATATATATATATATATATATATATATATATATATATATATATATATATATATATATATATATATATATATATATATATATATATATATATATATATATATATATATATATATATATATATATATATATATATATATATATAAACAGTTAAACAGTCCTCTGACTTGAGGTCAGCATGTGGCAATGGCAATCCAAAAATTTCAGAGGATTTTTTGCAGACCTCGTTTATATATTGTTTTGGTGAAATCTTTGTATTTAAAATTTTGTGCAGACTAACAATAGTTCAATAATATGAGCAATAAATTCCTGACCTTATATTTCTAATTCTGAGGTCTGTATATACATATAAACACCATACATACAAACATGCATATACATACAAACAAACAGGGTTCCCACTCTTTAAAAACCATAAATATCCTTAAAAAATAAAAACCTCCTTAAATGTTCTTAAATATCCTTAAAAAAAGTTTAAATTTGACTGCTCTCCCTATTTTCTACTTATTTTTATTTTATTTTTTTAATCATCTAGGAAATTTTATTGAAGGGAATGGATTATATTTATTAATAGAGAAGAAAATATATAGTTCTTTGATAGTTTGCAAATCTATATTTTTATTAAACATATATATATATATATATATATATATATATATATATATATATATATATATATATATATATATATAATATATATATATATATATATATATATATATATATATATATATATATATATATATATATATATATATATATATATATATATATATATATATATATATATATAAAGTAATATATTAATTTATAATAATTTCTCTGTTTATATTTAAAATTTATTAAAATAAATAAGATTCTGTATAATCATTTTCTCCTTAATTCTCCTTATTTTTTCTTTCAAAAAATTGTTGTTCATGACCAAATCTCCTTAAATATTAGGAAAATATCTTCACCTTAAATACCTTAAATCTCCTTAAAATCCTTAAATTTAATAGTGGGAACCCTGACAAACATGCATATACATACAAACATACATACAGTGGGTTGCCAAATTATTAGGGGCACTTTACTTTTTAAGTAATTTTAAAGTATAAACTACTGCAATGAATAAATACGTATTATGTAGTTATTTTTTTATTGTTTTTATTGTTAGAGAGTTTTATTTGGAATATAAAGCAACATAATTACTTATTCAGTGCTATTTATTTTCTTATAAAAAAATTTTAC